CTCAGTCATTCTGCCACCCGGCTGATCCCACATTACACAGCCAGCACTATTGCTCTTTTTCCACGACTCCCTTTGGCATTTACTTGGCTTCCTTTTGTAAGCTTATGTCTTAGTGTAAAATGCAGATTACAAGCATAATGAGCTCTAAAAGCACTAAATTAAGTGCATTTGAAAGTGCTTTTCCTCATCAGGGATAACCCTGAGCGAAAAGGCTCAGAGGACAGAAGCATTATATGGAAATGGATGCGGATCTGAAATTAAGAATCTTTGAAGGCGTACGCAGGCATGGAAAAAGCTCAGATCAATCCTGTGTAAATCCAGCTCCCAGGTGAGGATTTGGAGCAGGTAAAAGCGCTTATTCATTTGTTACAAACTGCATTTAGAGCTCACAACAATTTTCTGTTTCATCTTCAGTTTAGGAGGACTGACTTCTGTACTAGTTCAATGGCTTGTGGCCAATCGACTTTCTGCTTGACGCAAATGCTGCTACCTTTCTTTCTTTTTGAACTGAAAAATTCCAGTGAAGCAAACCTGAAAGGATCACCATAAAGTTGTTCTTTGTAAAATGAGTGGTTTTCTAAAAGGCCAGGCCAGGCCATGCAGAGAGTGAAAAATGACCATAACAGGCTTTTCTGGATTTTGTATGGATGACTCCCAAGTTCTCAGCTGTGCCTGAAAATGAATTATGGCCACACAGAGTACCCTCCACCACTGCCACCACGTGGTCTTTTTTCCCCAGTTTTTTAGTTATCAGACTGGTTATTGCAAAGAAATGGAGAGCAAGATGTCCAGCAGAAATCTACAGAATGACACATTTGTCTGTTTAGACCAAAAATTATTTAAACTCACATCTCAGAAGACATAATATGATGAAGTGCAGATGTTTTAAAACAGGAATCCTTGCAGTACACTGTTTTTTTCTCCTCTTAGAATATCAAAAGAATCCTCTTAAATCGAACATAGCCCAACTTTAAGTTTTAGTTTAATTAACCTGCACCAGAGTCACAGAAATAGTCAAAATGGGCACAACCTACTGCTAATGAATAAGGACTCGTTAGACACGTTATTTGTCAAAATGATGGCATCTCCCCTATAAAATTAAAAACGTGCTCCTGTTTTGACTTGATAGGCAGGGAGTGTAGAGATTGGCTTATTAAAAAAAAGAAGAAAGTGTATTGCTTTTTCTTTTTCACAGGGTTGCTAATCTTAAATCTAAGTACCTAAATCTAAAACAATGAGGGTCCATGTAAATGTCGTGTCCATCAGCCTAGCCCGACATTAATGTAAATAAATTAACATTGGAAAACAAGTCACCAGTATAACACATATAGAAACTAGAACAACTGAACATCTGGCAAATTAACCTTTTAGAGCCGAAATTCAAACCAGGAACCCTCTAACTACCACGACACCATTCAGCACATCTCATGTTCAATGAACTGTGGTGAAAGGTTTCTTCTCATTAAATGTTTAGTTATTGGCTCGTAGAGTCTCATCCCTCTCCCAACTGAAAACATACCATCAACTGGTGTCCTTAAAGCAAAATGATGGTACTGAAAGAAAAAAAACAGTCTCATTTAGCGAAAGAGTTATTGTGCTTTACTCAAAGAAATTAGGCATATCAGCTTTGGTATTTGGCAAAAGAGTTTGTCTTCTAAATCTTTCTTTTCTGTCCTGACAGGAAATATTTTGGTTAATCAGGAACACCGGCGGTCTCTAAAAAAAACCAGCTGTACTTGACATTCTCAAAATGAGAATGGTTGGTTGTTACCAGTGAAAGGTTAAATCTTAACTGACACAGTCCTCTTCATGGTGGTCCGTGGGGTTTTCAGAGGGGGATGGGGGGCGTGCACCCAATGATTTGGACACTAGCTTCTGGGTAAAACTGACAGGTCCATTACTGCCTATCTCCTCAGCGAGTACGCCCATGAGTCAGTTATTACGACTTCTTTAACAAACCCTTCAGTGTCCTTGCTACAGAAACTGGTAAGAGGCACACACACACACACTCATGTATCCACACACATGATCAGTGGCTGATTTATGGGCATGAGAGCCTGGAGGTGGGAAGCAGTACATTGTACCCCAGACATTTTGACCGGAGAATGAGCTATCAAAAGACGACAGGGAGGCGGGCAGCAGTGTAATTAGCACACTAAACACATTAGGCTGAAAGATCCCATAGTGCATCAACAAGGGATGCACTGAGGAGTGATTTGAATACTTTGTCCCAAAGGATGTCTGTGAAGGCTGATTGTGCAAATAATGGAATTGATCCAAAGAAAATCTGATTCAGAGGTCTCTGACAAGACATGAAAGCTTATTTGGTTTGTGGCCCAGTTATGAATTTTGGTTTTGAAATTTTTTTTTTGTAACACATCACAGCTATTGACACAGGACCTTTTTCTCAGCAGTTTCATGATATCTCATAATTTGTGACGTTTTCATACAAAAATGTAACTCAGATTTTTATTTTTATTTTGGAAAGACAATATATTGTCAAATAAGAGAGATGAATACTTTTGGATGACGATGAAGGGCCTTTTTGTAATAACTCTGCAAATCGATTGCCAGGAGCGAGGTAAATATTATTTCCTAACCAGCTACTGGCTTGTGCAACATCAGAAGCTTACTGAACCCAACTCAATATTTAAAAACCACAATCATGCATTTAAAAATGGAGGAAGAACCAGACATTTCTGTTTCTAAAATGTTTCAAATTAACTATAAATTGTGAGGTGAAACTGGTCGGATTGTCCTTGCTGATTCCTTGCGGAGGGAGCTGCATTTTAAATGCCTTTCTTTTGCAATTCATTTTGCATATAAGCTCAATGTGGCAGTTTATGAATAGAGAAATCAGTCACTGTGATACAATCCCCCATTTGTAAAGTACAGCCATTTCAAAACAAACTCTAACAGGCCAAGATGTCAAAGCAACAGGTTTAAGTCATGTGACAAGAATGCAGCTATTGTATCTGAGTTTGACACACGACTGTTTCTATTCATAACATCACAGATCCCGGATTAGTTCACTGCATGTTTCAGAACTGAGAAATGAAAAAGTGTTACTGCCCTCACAGTGATATATATATATATATATATATATATATATCTGTGTGTGTATGTATGATAATGTCTTCCTGTCTTTGTGGTTGAAGTCAACTTATTAATTGATCATAGTTGTTTGATCTAAGTGTGTGTCAAACAAACCGCACCACCTATCAGCTCCTCTCAGTACTGTTTTTTGCTTTGCCATCTGGAACACCTTTCATATTTTGTCCTCTGCAGATGGAACTTAAAGCCTTAAAGAAAAAATATTGAGCGAATTGTCTTCACAGGCAGTTTTTTTCACCAGCTGCGATAATGAAATCAATAGAAGCCAACTGACGCTAAAGGACATGCACAACAACAGCTCCATCACAGTCAGAGATGTATTTGCTGATCTTCCTCCATCACAGATGGAGTGTTGTGAAACACAATAGCGAGCATTGTTGTACGCTTTTAATGACCTGTGTGCACCCTGTTGTTTCAGCACTCAGCTTTTAGAGATAACATCCGCTGTCATTACACAAAACAGCTGAGATAGGCACGGCGAGAGCCGCCCACTTTCGGTCTCCTGTCGAGCCTTTCTAATTACCTGAGCGTAAACTAAGCTGACAGTTGAATGTCTCAGTGGGCGAGGGACAGGGGCTGCCTAGGGTTGACACCACTCCATTTGAGTGACCTACCGCTGAACTTGGGCCTGTGAGAAAAATAACAGATACTCCAATTAGGCCGCCATTGTCTCACCGCAGGGCTGGTTGTGGAAGTCTTACCTCGCCACACAACAATTAGCCCCGAGGAGCATTGCGGCTTGTGGAGGCTTGCAACATGCAGATCCATCTCGACCTGCCTCAACGCCCGCTGGCTCAGGCCTCTGTTTTGATGAGCATGTTTATTAGGAAAGTGTTTTCACTCATCCCTTCAATCAAAGCTGAAACATTGTTCCTGTACTGAAAATTTCCGAAGTTTCAGCCTTGGTGTAACAGGCTGCTGAAGCTTAATCAATGCTCATTTTGTGTTAACTTAGAAAGTTGAACTAGTCACAATGGCAGTCTACTCAAGTTAGAGTGTAGGGGGAATATTAAAGGGATATAACATAATATAGCTGGATGCATCACACTGATTGAGAGAATCCATGCCCACAATTATATGTGGCTCACTCACAGTTCTCCCTGGTATCTCAAGTCACATGCATTCATTTAAAAAGTAATACATCTATTTCTTTAAATCAATAAAACATATGTGATTTATCTGAGACAAAAAATATGCTTCAAAATACTTCCAACAAGCGTGAGGACTATTGCTGCTGAGCACATATGCAGCATACTTTGAGTATTTACACAAGGCGTTAAAGCACAGTATATATTACCCAATGCTTCCCTGTACTGTTTGTTTTGGAAATCATCCGTGCCCGGTATCAGGCACTAAAAATACTCCTCAACTTGTTCTTCGTTTGCTCAAAGAAAGAGAGGGAGGCCTTATGTGCTCTGCTGGCCATCGCTTTCATTGTTCAGATAAAAACAGCACGCCATAGAATGCTTAAATCATTTGCTCTCTGAAGAGTGATTTATGGCAAACATTGACAATGGTTAATACATTCTCAAAAGTATGAGTACTGGTTCTGCCTGATCGTCAGCTTGCCAAAGCTACTGTTGCATCTTGATTTACCCTTTGAAAAGTGATTAACCCTTTAATGCTACATGTATCATATTTGATGCTGTTTCTTTAGCTTCTGCGACCTTTTGCATCACCTTATGGTAAAAATCGATGCTGATAGCCCTGTGATATACCTGTGATAACAAGGTATCACAATATGATATACCTGATGTCAGTGGGCGGAAAACTGCACAGCAAAATGTTTTACTCATTAACTGTAACAAGTGGTTAACATACAAAAATATTTTTTGTAAATGTTTTAACGAATAATAAAGACTTCACACAAAAACAATCCAGAATTTTCACATTTATTTTCTTGGATCAGACTTTAAAGGGTTTAAAAGAATTCTGTAGATGATTTTATTTCATTGCTGATTTTTCAAAGATTTTGAATCAGACCAAAATAAAAAGAGCAAGTCTCTGGTTGCATGTTCTGGTTTGAGCAAAATAAAAATGCCTATGGTCTGGCCAAACTGCAAACCCATTGCAATATGAATGACAATAAGCTGAATTTAGGTGATAGCTTTTTTTATTAATGATATTTAAATACATAAACACACACCTGCAAAAATAATTTTGTACAAACCTAAAAAAACAAACAAAAAAACAGCAAACAAGCTTACCAAACAAGCATAATTTACATCAGAAAAATACTGCACTTTTCATAGGAAACGATAACAAATAAAAATAAATCTATGTCATTCTAACTTTGACTCTGTAAAATGACAAATCTTTGCAAAGAGAACAAGTTCAAAGTATGTGGAGAAGTAACTGACAGGCAGTTGAATACAGTGTTATGTTAACGCAGGTCTTGCATACCGACTTGGGGTACTCATTCAAAGCCTGCAGGCTGAAAACTTCTCTGATATTAAAAATGTTCAACTTTTGCTGTGTAACTCTGGCACAAATGGTGATTTATTCCCGGACCACAACAGTTTAAGAGTCTTAGTGTCCTCTGGACTGTATACGTATATATAATATGTATATATAATCATATATAGTATGTTTTCTTTACCTCAAAAACACCATTTATGTTGTATTTTTCTTATTTTTACAGTACGACAACAGTGTATGGCTTGGCAGAAAAAAACTGACTTTCAGCTTTGGAAAAGAAGCTAACTTTACTGAGCAAACATTGACCACATTTGTGCCATAAATTTGTACAGTACAAGTCCAATCTAAACACTGAAGTTTCCTTTTCAAAGCTGTACAAATCGGCCTCCATATATGGCACTAGACTGTAAAAAATATACTGCATTTTGATGGCTGTTGTACAAACACAATAAACGCTTTCCTCTGAGACCAACAAGGCACTGTAGCCATTTCATATTACAGTTTTTGGCAGTAAACTGATATACGATACAAAGACACGCCACAAAAAAAAGGCAGTGTTTGATCTTTGTCAGCTTTGAGGGCCAAGAGGCATGTGTGATCTCTCACAAGTGAAACGCACAATTACTTGATGATGTGATATGTGTCACTATGTTGTGATTAAGGCTTGACTGACCTGTTTGGATTTGACAGATTTACACTCCTTACAAGATGGACTTAAGGCCATGGGATTACCAGTGCAATCAGTGTGTGTGAAGGTTAGCTCTTTGTATCATAATCTTCCCAGTACACAAAAAATACAAGGCTACACTTGGTGAAGACTGGAAGCCAGCAATGTGTAACCAGTCATCTTGCTAAAGTAAATGGCTTTAAACATCACACAGGCTTTGTACACAGATCCTGAGGCACTATTTGTTTTCAGGTTGGCTTTAGTCTTTGGTTGATTTGTTCTTGCTTAGCTGGCTGCGTGACTTTCTGACATTAGGAGTGGCTGCTCACACTGAGATCCCTCCATTGCTCTGGTTGGACTGGCACTTTCTGAACTCAGATCTCGGGTTTCCAGCTCAGATGCTACCCCTCCATGAGCCAGCCCTGCTTCCTCCGCCGCCCTCCTCATCCGCTCTTCATCCTCCATTTTCAGTCTTCGCTCTTCAGCCTCTATTTCCTCCGTGGTAGGAATAGAGTTCTTCTTGGGTCTTCCCTTGGGCTTAGTCGGAGCCTCGTGACCTCCTTTGAGCACCTAGAATAACACACAGACAGTCTTAGTGGACCGGTCTGATAATAAATGGCAGCAGAAGTCAAAGGCAATGCTTGCTATTAAAGTAATTAAGAGAAGACGTATCGCTGCTGGCTGCACCTTGTGCACTCATTCATTTTTAACGGCTTTAGGTCTTTTTTGTTCTCAGTGTTGTTGACCCTTCCACAAAAGTGTTTGCTCTCACTGCAATCATCATCAGTCAAAATACACTTACCCTTCACACACCCTTGCTTCCTACCATATTGCTCTTTTTTCCCTCATTGTTATATTAAGCAACAATAGTAACAAACAGTACATGCAGCACTTAGCTGTGAAATTCCACATTGTGGAAGCAAAAATGGCCGGGATTCTGGGTGTAAATATGGAGCTGTTATTTCTCCAACAAATGCACTGTTAAACTAAATTAAAAGAAATCATCCAATTATCAATTTCCTTAACCACTTATTCCCAAATGAGGGGGGATCAGAGCCTATCCCAGAAGTCAATGGGCGAGATATAGGGTACACCCTGGTTTGACAGTCCATCACAGTTGAAAAAAATCAGCTGGTTTAATTGGCATATTATGATATTTCCTACTATTTCAGGTTCTGCGCTAACAACACTGATTCTGCTAGATGGGACATTTTGAGTATATCAACTGCTAAATTTGTTAAATTGAACCTTGCTGAATCTAGCTCATTTAACAAAATTCCATACTTAATGGCAAAGGCAGGCTTTAGAATAGAATGCAAAAACGCTCTGACATGTTGCCCATTGTTACCTGATATGGCAGGCTTACCATTTTCTTCCATTTCATGCGCCTGTTTTGGTACCACGTCTTCACTTGGAGCTGCGTGAGACCAAGGGACTGAGCCAGATCTAACCTGCAGAACCACAAAAACAACAAGAGGTTCATTAGTTTAACATTATAGTAAGCTTTTTTGTGGCCTAGTTTGTCTCTTTCGATCCATGTCTGTATGTCTTTGATTTCTCTCAATAACACAATGTAGAAATGAAATGCAGAAAATATATAGAAGTATCATTATGAAAGCATTTTAGATATTTTCTCATGCGTACCATATCTTCCTCACTTGACAAGCTTGCTAGCTTAATACTAATGATGCATGACACATTGTGGAAGTGGAATCTAATTACCTTCATCTTTATTGTACACCAGCTGAATTGTGTGTGGCTATGATGCAGAAGTAGATACACTTTTCAGTTAGGCTCTTTAACCTAATTCTAACCTATACATTGATTTGCCATGTTGATATAATTTAAACATCCATTAAAAAAAGCAGACATCAGTGGCCATTTTATGCCAAATGGTTGACCTGATGTCAGACTTAACTACAATACAAGACCTGACTGATCCACTAAATATGTTTGAATCCAGCCTCAAAGCTGTAGTCTGATACAGTACACCTGCAGTTTAGAGGACGTGTTTGAAATGTCTGTACAGAGATCAGTGATCCAGTCACTACTCTTTAAGCTGGATGATTGGGGCTGCTGGAGAAAATTCTGAATGCATCCACCACATGTGGTGACGCATGACTAATTGAGCTATTGGTTGAAGTGTAATGGAAAACCTCAGGAAGCGACAGATACATTGAACAAGGCATCCATGTTCATAGGAAAGGAGTGGTTATTGATTTTTTTTTTAAATGGGATTTCCTCTTCCTTGCTCTTCACAAGGCCTTTAACAGTCAGATGAATGCTTTTGCACATCCACCAATCCCCGACGGAAAACAGCCGACTTTCACTTGATGCTGAAAGTGGAAGCCGAGACTGAGAAAAGCACAGAATGTAATCTAAAAACCAGGGAAAGAACAAAGGAAAAGATATTCTCTTGAGATTTGTATAGCTGTTTCTTAACCTTATACCATATATAAAGAACTTTCTATATGTGTTTGAGTGAGTAGGAGAGAATGTGAGTGTGGGTGTTTTGTGTGTGTGTATAGTTTTCAAGGACCCCTAAAACGGCACTGGGGATGTCTTACAAATGTTACTATTTTACACATACCAGTCCATAACAGGGCCACAACTGGAGGGAAAAAAAGTTAATTGCAGAAAACCCCAATTATTCACAGTCATTAGTTCTCAATGGAGAGAAACCACCCAGTTTCAGCAACACAAACAGCACTTGAGTCATTCCTTTTAGGCTACTGCAAGGCTGTCATTTTGTTCCATTCACATGAATAAACAAGGAGCTATTGGGTGTTACTCTGTAGCTTTTTATGACACCGAGATTGCTAATTAATAAAGCTGTGATTATTACATTTTGGTTTCTGAAAAAAAAACATTACTCTGCTATCACATAAATAATCAAAGGTATATTTTTGGATTTGGTTACACTCGCCCTCACACGAAGAATTAGTTCAAGACCGCAGACACTCCAAGCCAAACGAAAAAGTTATCCAGTTATCTCTGGATCATAACAAACCAAAGTAGGGAGCACGCCACACCTTTGATGTGGGGTTTTAAAGGGGGATTTTCTCTGCTGATGTTTTTCCACCAGCTGGGTATTTAATTAATTTTCAACATGTCGTCAGAATCGGATATTTTGACAGGACATAGTATTTTGGCACAGCTCTTCTTACGGATGGTTGGATTTTATCACTAAGCTGCTCTCTGCCTCAGGGCTTTTGCTTTAAGATGAGGCATGGCACCTATCCAGGTGCTTGGGCCACACCAAGGTGTGATATGTTTAATAACGCATTGTGGGTGTGTCACCCACAGAAGTGATGCAAATTGTTTAACAAAAAAAAAAAGTTTATTCCTCATATGCAAATTATGTCGTTGGCAACTATATGTAAGAATACACGTCGCAAAAGAATAATGCTTATCTCTTCATTTTTTTTTCGAAAAATGCAATCCCATCACAATGCAAAGCTTCATATGCTGGTTAGCATTGCTGCTGAGCAGGTGAAGGAAAACTTTTCTCAAGGTTTATGGTTCAATTCCATTCTGAGTTATCGTGGAAAAATTGTCTGTCGCCAACAAAATAGTAAAATAAATTCTAACCTCATGTCGGGTCCCAAAAATGACCCATGGTGTGGAACTAAAGACAGATATTAACAGACAGATTACCTCATCTTATTGTGGAGAGCAAAATATATTTTAAAACGCACCTGCACATGAGTGAAATTATTGGCAGTAATTCAGTCTAATATTTTCCGGTTTGCTTGTGTTGGCCACTGTCCCTGTTCTCTTGAATAAGGCAGTGTTTCTTTGTTGGGGCTTTTTTTGCTGTTGGGGAGCTCAGGGTTAAAAATGTTACTCTTGTCTCAACTAGCACGCTGAGGTAATGCTCTGGCTCAGACAAATTCACATTATATGAGACATTCCCCACAGGATAAATCAAAAATTATGATGCTAGGTTAACTACCGCTTGATAATTGCATCTGTGGTTTTGTGAGTGTCCTTGAGTGTGCGTGCATGCTCTGAACTTTTGAAATCTGGTCTCTGCCTATTAAAGTGCACAGGTTGTCAAAACGCTACAGTTGAGTGACACTTATATGATTCTAGTAGCTAGAACATCAGGTTTATTTAATAACACTGTATCAGCACTGACATATTGTTGGTTTGTGCTGTTTTGTTGGCAGGTATGAAGGCAGAATTTTATAGTTATGCTTTTTCCTTTTACCTATTTTAACAGGAAACAGTTTCAGCTCTATTGTCCCCCCTACCTTAAATAGCAACACTTATCACGCTGGAACTAGTTTGGTTTCTAAGGGCCGTGATCTATACACTGACCTATCAGGCGTGGACAGGTACTTCTGCTTCTGGAACTTCTTCTCCAGGCCCATCAGCTGCAGCTCGGTGAAGATGGTGCGGCTGCGGCGGGGCTTTTTCAGGCGGGGCGTGCTGCGCTCCGTCTCCGACTCGCTGCTGATGCTGAGGGGCGTCTGGCTGGGCGAGGGCTCCGAGCCCCGCGGGAGCTGCGGGGAGATCAGGGGCAGGTGCGAGTGGGCCGCGCCGGGGGAGGGGGGCTGCTGAAGGTGGGGCGGCACATTGGGCGGCTGCCGTGTGATTACGGAGAGGAGCGGGTAGGCACGCAGTGACGAGGAGCCTGGAGAAAAAAAGCACAGATGGAGAAATGCATTACAGAGCTGCAAATACATTAAATATCTCCATCTGAACCGCTGTAACTTTTAGTCACCTCTCGTAGACCCCTCAGTCACCTCGGCTGTTCCATTATCGACTGCCTGTTCTTGCTCAGACAGCTTTGTTTTTAATTGAGCAGTGTTTGCTGAAGAAGTGTTTTGGCTCTGACCTTCACCATGTAGAGGGCCGTGATCCCCATGACGCAGGCAGTGTTTTACACTGATCCCCTAAACCTTTCAAATGAAAGATGGTTTTTAGAGGTTGTTAAAAATTAACTGGCTCTCCACCACTAAACTGCCTCCGCATGAATTGATAGGCCACTGCAGCTCAGACACTTAATAAGCCGTAATAAAATCTAAGTAATATAGAAGATTTTTTTTTCCATATCCTGCATTCTCATCCGCGCTTGTGCAATGCTCAATAGAAACAGATGCACTCGTACACGTGTGTTTTAGCTCTCAGTAGGAGCTGAGAAAAGCTGCAGGTATCAGAATCTATAAAAAGCAGAACTTGACTTGAGCCACGGCTGGAGTGATGGAAAGGATGGCAGAAAGGAGGCCACGGATCAACAAAAGTCAACGCAAAACAGGCAATAAAGATCCTTGTGGCTTCAAACAGTCAATCTCTATGTATACAAACAGCACAGACACTAACGAATGGACTGATAAGGGGCTTGGCAGGCAGAGGACGTAGAGAGAATTACAGCTGTAGACCATGAGGATAAAGGACACGCGTGTAGTGCAAGCAGAAACTGTAAAGCCAGGCTGAGCTTCTTTCATTCATCCATCAATACCTTACGGTGCCTTTTTTTTCATCACTTACAGAAATTTGTACGTTTTTTTTCCCCCCATCCAAATAAAAGAAAAAAAAGTTTGCAGCACAAAGGGAGAGTTTGTACTCTTCAATCTTTCGTTATGGTGACTCATGAGCATAGAGGATTACACATCTAAACTCGTACGCATATTCCAGGTAAGCTCCACTATTGGATGCACATCAACCATGAGAAAACATAACAGCTCCATACAAGTGTGCATAGGGATAGTGACAGTTGCTCACATCAGACACTGCCCTGGGCTTGTCATGACATCATGGTAGGGAACCGAGGTCATCTTTAAATCCTCCAATGTTGGATTGGTGATTTTTAACAAGTCTAAACACGAACACCTCTCTACATTGCTCGTACGCTATTTCATTCCATCACAACCACTCCATTTGTGTTGTTCTTTGTCTTTCTGTCGGCGTTAAAGCTATCAATAAATCATCTATGTTTGCGCTCCTTAATAGAGGGGAATTTTACATTGACATTTGATCAAGTGGAATTCGTGGAATGGAAGGGCCAGTGTCAGCCATGTCTTCCTGAAGGAAGAACATACTTCAATTTGTCCTCACAGCTCTCAGGAAGTCTCCTGTCAGCAGTGAGCTTCAGGGTGTCTCCCCCCCTCCCTCCCCACTCCCACTCTTGAGGTGGTGAATGCAAGAGGGAGAAGAGACAGAAGAAGACGGAGAGCGAAGGGGGAAATGTCAGCCAGCCCTCCCGGTGACTTTCCACTGACAGTGAGGCCAGTTCTCTGACATGGTGTTGACAAGCACTGATGTTCTGTCGATAGTCTACAAATAAACTGTTTGAGTAGCTGCAAGAATGCAACTCGGTGCAATGCAAAAGCACATGGATCCTCTCGATAATCACAGCTGGCATCTAGGAAATGGAACAAGTGCTCATCGTAACCATTACAGACTGCGTACCAGCTAATAATAGATCAAGAGGGGCAGATTGTTCAGCAATACTTTAAATGCAGCTTGCTTTCTCCATTGATAACTGTCATCACAACACCATTCTCCTTTCCTTAATGTGTATTTTGTGAGCATTTCCCTGCAAACACTTGCTCCTCCTCTTAACATCTATATTTCCGCGCAGGTTTTTTTTTACTTTTCAACAAGATGCTGGAATGAATGATTCATTGCTCGGTCATGGCATGTTTGTGAAGTTTTGCAATTTGCTTGCACAGTAAACTATCTGGTGACAACTGCAGCTGCTCAGCCAAACACGTCGTTCGCGTAATTGTTTTCGGCCTTGTCCGATGAGCTCAAATCGAATGCTGTTGGAGCGATGGGCTGTGCAGTCTCTTTTTTTTCTTCTTTTTTTAAAAATCATCAGCACATGAGATATTACAGACACTTAGTAGCACTGCACACGAGTGAAACTTCCAAGGGAATTAACATTTGAGCAACAAGCTTTATTTTGAAACATTTTAGCATTTTAAATCCTCGTCTGCACAAAAATCTGCCTGCAGCGCAAATTACTTTAAGACGTGATTAATTGCTCATCCCTGTCAAGGTCAGAAGGGTAGAATGGGAATTGCAGGGAGATGACAGACTGTCAAACATTATCATTAAGTGAGGATGGAAGGCCTGAACACCTTTCACCTTTGTGTGTGCACGTGTGTTGACACTGGTGTTATCAACCATCTAAAACTGACTTTAAACCTAAAGGGTGACTGTATTGTTTTCAGCAGATTAGATTTTAAGATAGTATAAAAACCTTTCAGTTCACATGGGTTTCTTTTGTAAAAGCCTTTAACCAGAACGAGATAAGAATGCATCAGGCTTCCCGGCCATTTTTTTTTTCACCACATATATTTGTCATTATGCTGTCAAGAGAGATTACGCCAACGTTGATCTTAATCTCTTTCACCTCCTCTATAAAACAAAACTAAGAGCTCTGCCCTGACTCCTGCTGAGAGATGGGCCGCTAAATGAAACGGCGTAACCTGGTATTACTTCCCTGGATGTTGGGCTGCAGGTCAGGGCTTATTGCCGATGATCCTGCTGTCAGTGACATGGATTTAAATCCCTGAGTGTTGGCTGCTTTTACTTTGAAATACAAATATCCAAAATTCACTAATACGTAATAATGTGTTGCACAGATTAAAAAAAAAAATCTGAGCAGAGGTGATAAAGAATACAAAACTTCAGCGTATCAACTCCTGGAGGCAACGCTGTCAGCAACATTGTCTTTCAGCAGCCTCCACTGGCAACTGGAGGTTACAACATCCCTTTCTCTGTAGAGTGAAAAAGTCAACTTTCCCTCTCAGGGGGCCATGCAGGGGCCACTCACCTCTCTTTGGCCCAAGACCTGTAGGCTTGCCAGCATCTATATCAAGCACTAAAAGCCATTGATGTTGGGGAATATACTGTGTCTCACACCCCCGCGGCCACAAATAAGTGGTGGGTGCAGTGTTCTGATATGCGGGACAGGTTACTCTATCCATCTGAAGAAAAAAAAAAAGAGGGAAGGGGGGTGCAAAGCCCAGTCATAGTACCCTCTAGCATACACCAATCCATTTCTGAGGGATGAGGGAATCGCTTGTCCTATTTTTATCCAACCATCGCTGTCATCATAAAATTGCAGTGGCATATAATTTCAGACTTTAGAGCAATTATCCTATGGCTTGAGTTGCCTGAACTAATCTGGATTTACAATTAATGAAGTTTTGTTTTGTCAACTTTTAGCAAGTAGTCTAATTTACTCTTACACGTATCTACTTATTTGTGAGAAAAGACGAAGATGCATGTTTGCTGTGCATTTCCTCCAATTTCAGCTTCCATTGCTGAGGCGTTTTTTTTTCAGATTGCATTTTCTACACGTTCCCTGCAAGCATCTTCAGCAGCCCACCGTCCCTCCATAAGTAAAATGTCCAGCAGCAGTAAAACCCATCAAGGAAGGCCTCTGGCTCAGCAGAATACTCATTAATCAACCGAAATGAGATCAAACAGATCAAAGGTTAGAGCTTTGTAACCACGGGCTTCTATGACAGGGATCTCCTTTATCTGCCTCATCTGTCCAAGTGCTACTTAACTGACTTCTAACCGCGCCACTTACCAAGTTAGTCATTCGTCATTTGCGTTCAACAACAGCCCGCAAGCGTCCCTGACGTTCATCCGACTTCACCGCGAGGCTTTGATTTTCAGCACGTAGCCCTAATATGATTCATAATCGTTGGACTAAAGAAGATGAGGTCACCAAAGCGGGTTAAGAAATAAAATCGTTGCGAAAAAATGAAGTGCCCCTACAAACAGAATGATGCAACCACACTAACTTAGATTTTTAGATTATGAGAACGATGATGGTAATCTTTTGAGATGTCAACATTTCAGTTTGCGCACACATTACTCACCAGGGATGGCAACTTTTAAAGGCTGGTAATAAAAGCTGGATCATGACGAGACATATTTTGGAAAATAATACCGACACATCTCAATCACTCGTCAATAAATATGAATGATTTGGTCAATCTTTTATTAATTTAATTCATTTTGTGTAAAATCCCTCAATTAATGCTCCGATTCAAATTGCTACGTTCTGAAATTTTAAATTTTACATATGAACCACCGTACACTTTTTTTTACAATTCCAATGTTAAAGCCCAACGGTCTGTAAACCACCAATTAGAGACATTTTCATCTGATATTCCCCTAAAGAACAGAGAGCTCTTACCCGAACAAGAATGAAGAGGCTTTGGTCGAACAATGAGAGAAGGACACACGGAGTAGAGAGAAAGCTTCTCGAAGTAATCACAAGTTTCCTTGGAGAGGATCTCGTCAATCATGAAAGTCTTGTAGCGCCGCCTGGCCGCCTTCAGCTGCCCGGCGGAGGAGAGCCTGAGCTCGGCTTGACAGTGCATGCTGCGTCCTTACGCGCGGTGCGCCGCCCTTACAGCACAGCGTGGCTTTCTGTTTGAGGATGTCTACGCTTTTGCAGGATCTAACCGATTACGGAGGCGACTGCTGCAGTTCATGCGTTACAACAGGTCATTGTTTATCTTTCGAATTGGAGCTTTGCTTTCCCCGAAACGTTGCTTGCCGCTGCGCAGAGCGCCACAGTAGTGACGGGCTGCGCTCACATCCGCCGCTATATAAACCATCTCTGTCCTCTTCCAGCGCTGCTTCATACTCCCGCTCCTCCCAAGGCCACCTCCCAAAAACCCTCCCTGAACACACACACACACACACATACACACACTCACTCAAGCACTCAAACAACATCGGATGACGTTTTCTTTTTTCAAATATGTATTCATTGCAACTCACTGTACACTTTAGTCTAATTTGATCCTCGTATAAGAATTTGATATAATCTCTGCAAAAAGACTAAATGCTATTTTATTACTGGTGTATAATAAAGACTTACTAAGCTAACCCCGTAATTCGTTTAAAATGAACTGATTGTCATAAACGCCCTTCCCGGTTCCAATGGTATTTATTTGACTGAACTTCGTCGATAAAGTCGTGTAAACCCTCGGTTATTAGATATTTTACATGACAGTTCTTTTCCTAGTTTGTTTTGAGCTACCGATTTTTATTTATTCGATAGACCTTCAACTTAAACGGGCTCAAATTGAAAGTGTTATTTTAGTTAAAGCACTGAGAGAGAGAAAATAAATACATAAAAAACTAATTAGCCAACCCTAATCCTGCTCATTTTCATGTATGCATTTATCTCGAATTGGATTCCAACTTTAAAATAAAGGGGACTATTTTGAATCAAATTAAAAATTAAGTTTAATTTGGTATTTTAGATAATTAAAGTTAAATTAATTTCTGCACAAACTTATTTCAGTGTGCTTAGTTGAATAGACTCATTCCAAAACAAGATTATATATTTATAATGAAGCAGATGTATGACTTCTCAAAATTAGTAACCAAATGTTAAAACCGTTCTCTAATGATAACAATAATAATAATTAAATATGGCATCTAAAATTATGGTGATGAAAAAAAATATATATCCATAATAGTGATAACAATACCCACAGTTTAATACAATAACAAAATAGAGAATTTCAATCGGAAGTACTTCTGACTCCCGCTGCAGGTGTAACTTATTATCAATCAGGGTGCGCGCGCATACCTGACGCTCACGTAGGCGAAATGAAACACTTTCTGCCAGACTGGCGTATCGGAACACGCACGAGAAAAGGAGACTTTTAAAACTAATTTTTAAATTAGTTATTTTGCTTTTCTTACTCAACGCCAATATTTAGCTTTCTTTTAAGAAATGTTTACAGTTCAGTTTAAAGACGTTTAAATTGGCCGATATTTAGACGTCGCCAAAGTGTCGGCAGCGAGCTGACAGCAACAGAGGAAATCGGTCATAGCGTGTTCTTTAGAAGCCGACTTTCATTTCGTCTATAACTACGTGTTTGATAAAAAAAAAAACTATGTCTAATGCAGACAAATGTTTTAATTGTCTGAGAGCTTCTCTAAAAAGTTGGAGGACTTTTGACATTAACTTTGTGATGTATTCTTATTTGTGATAAATTGTCTGTTATTGATCTTAGTTTAAAAAGATGTTTTAAAGTTTAAGGGTGAAACAATTGTTTCAATCGGGCATGGACAAAAAAACGTTGTGTGTGTGTGTGTGTGTGTGTGTGTGTGTGCGTTATTCCTACTGCACTTCAAATAGACGTATGGCTACGTTTGTTACAAGTTTGATCAAAGAGGGAAAACCTGGTGGTTTCACTGTAACCAACTGTATATGAACTACAAATTGAATTAAACTAATGTCATTGTTATTCAGTTATTTAGAACTGAATAATAACTACCGATAATGACATACAGCTAGTTGAATTAATGACAAAATGTAATCGTTTAGTTTAAAAAAGGGGGCCTTTTGGCCGTCAGGTTATAGGCCAACTTCCCGTTGGACCGTGAACCCAACAACCTGATGTGGCGTTAAGCACCAAGAATCACGGCCTGCTCGAATACTCACTTGAGGTTTGCTTTCCGGGCCAGTTACAGAGGAGGGAGGGGGAGGCTATCTGGGTCTTTGGAAGTGGATCTTTTCAGGAGACACGCTTCTATAAAAGTCCACACAGCAGCCGCTACCGAGTGGCCTCTCTAATCCATCCGCTCCAGGGCTGGAGACGCCAGGCAGATCAACCAATTAAAAGAGCTATGCCACGGCCAGATGCATGATTAGGGCCTCCGTCCTACCCCCGCAGAAGCGAGGATACTCTCTATTAAAGCAATTTGGGAACAATCAGGAGGCCATCACACACTGGGAGAGATTACAGGCAATACGACGAGCTTAGCTCAAAAGGTGCAAAGACCGTTACGCTTTTGGACACCGGGAGGTTCATCGAGGGAAATAGTTGTCGATGCTACACCGGAGCCAATGAGAGAGGCATAAGCACTTTCGGAAGGGTAGATTATGACCTCAGCTCAGATATGAGGTGGATCTGATCGTCACTTTGTAACAAACACAAAGAGGCACCGAGAATAGGATCAACGTACAGAGTATAGGATCAAAGTGCTGCTAATTCTGAGATGGGGAAAACGGGCGTCTTTGGCCATGTGATCTGTCCAAACCCGATGCCGTTTAGTCTGGAAAAACTGGCGCTATCAAATCAGTCAAACAAGAATTCAGCCATGGCGATTAGAAAAGTAAGTTGTGAAACGGTGGAAATGGATGAAAAAATAAAAGTAAAAAATAAAACGAACGTGAGAATTGGATCCACGTCAGGACTTGAAAGCATCTTAAACTGAAAGGTCAAGCATAGGAGCCGATCATGTGACTCGGTTATATTTAACACCTTAATTGATTTAATAAATGGCTGCCTGTGGCGCCACCTGTAGATTACTCCATGACCCGCTGCACAAGCATATTAATTTCACTTGGTCCATTTATAGGTGCAGATCAGGCCATGCGTCCATGCATTACAGCATGTAGCATCAACACACAATAGCCTATTTAGTTCAGCACATACACAAAGAGCTGGAAATAGAGTTAGAGAAGCGCCGAGACCCGGGCAGCTGTGCTGTGGCCAGATGAATGACAAGCAGCAGTCAAATGAAGAGCTTTATAATAATGAAAACGTTTCATTTTCAATCATTTTTAAAACAGTATGTTATACACATCAGAATAAAAAAAAAGCAAAAAAGCAAGATAAAGCCCCAATGTGAAAAATAGCAAGGTTTACACATCTAAAAAATTAGAAAAGTCGGTGCCCTATTGTAGGTTTTAGGTGTTGCTGGTGAAATCTTTTTTTTTGCAAAGTACCTGAATAACTTTTTCAAATTCTGAGCACCATTTAAATACAACTTGCATAACATAAAAAAGGCCAATCTACTGTTTTTTTTCTTTTAAATACATGTTACTTTTTTAACTCTTCATGGAAAATTGGCCTAGAGTCACATCTGAATTTTGTCCTTGCTCACAAGTTGACACAATCCTGGCCCTGAAAATGTTTACAACAGATGTGAGGAAAATCTCACATGAAAGAAAGGGTTCAAATTTAAAAACACCTTAAAAAAAAAAAAAGAAAAGGCATGAGTCACTAAACCTCCAAATTGGTAAGACCATGTACAAACGACCTGAGTATTCACAACGGTTTCAACATAATTCAGATATAAAGCTGTCCACAAAAAACAAAACAAAAAAAGACTCAGTATCGTCGCCATCTGCTGTCCTGGTTGCTGCGGTTGCTCCCCCTTTCGTCGTGATAATGTCTGTTTCCACCTCTGCTGTCGTGGTGACGGCTGCCGCTGCGGTCGGTCTGGTGGAAGCCCTCCCGGGCGTGGCCGTGCTGCTGGTGGCGGCCCAGCTCTTCGCCGTAGCGCTGGCTCCTGCCGCCGGGCGTCTGCGATAGGTGCTGTCGGTACTGGGGGCTTTCCTGCTGCCTCGGGCCCCCGCTGGAGCTCCCGCCTGCCGACGTCTGCCGCCTCAGGGGCTTTTGGAAAGCGCCGTTCTGCTGGTCAAGCTGCTGCATGTGGAGCTGCCACATCATGTTGTTCATCTGGCCGCAAAGGAATAGAAGATTAGAGAGAGAGCCCTGCGTTTCACAGACAAAACAGATTTCTGTTCCAACAACTCCACATATTTCTCCATTAACGTAAAGCCATGTGTTACCATGGCATGCTTCTGCAGGCTGTCGGGGGAGGTGAAGGACCTCTGCATTTGGGGTGGTGTGTATGGAGGAGAGTTGAACTGAACTGGAGTCCTGCAAGAGAAGAATTAAGATGTAGATTTGATCATTTTTTTACTCATCTCAGTTGTTAAAGAGTGGGCAGTAAAGTCAATAGAAAATGTTTTCATTTTTGTTTTCAATCGAGACCCTTTTGCTACACTTGCTGAGACTTGTTTTTTAGGGGGGGGGGGGGGGGG